TTTAGGGTCAGCGACAAGTTGGATAGATCCTTAAACAAAGTCTCGGGAAAGGGTAAACACGGCGCGCAGCCATTGCAGACTAACTCGAATGTCTGTACCATATCGTGCCTGGACGGGCAAACATACGTCATCAAGTGCTGTATGATAGGAAAGTTGGTGGAAGTTAACGAGGCGTTGTCAGAGGATCCGCAACTTCTCAAGGGACCGCCGCATAAAGGTGGATATTTGGCTATAATATTGCCGAATATAAAACTCTTGGAAAGTTTAAAGCAATCTCTGTTGACTCACGAACAATATATTGAACTTGTTGAAGAAAGAGAAAAGAAGTGACGTAGTAATAAATGAAAATTTTATCTATTGACAGCTGTTATTGCTGAGAAATGATTTGGTCAATTTAATAACAGCAATGAACAATTTATAAGAAACTAGGTAGCAATTATTAGAATTGGAAATAATTAAGATTTTGGATGAATAAATTAATTTGACTTTCTTACGTATATCCTAATTTTCTTCTATCCTTGTTTTATTCTAAGATGTTATTAATTATCTTAACAATCGCTGTTTTCTAATATTGATTTTGTTCATATATCAAGATCCATTATTTTGTTATTTTATAAAAATGAGGTAAACACGGTTAAACCATAATACTGATGGTACGATTAAATCTATACGCTTGAATATATGCTTGATTTATAATACCTCAAGTAAATATAAAAATTTCTATATTTGAAATTAATGTAACATTTGAGAATTCATCACATGTGAATTGAAGAATATTTATTTACTAATATAATTTTTCTGTTTCATCTAGTTTAATGTAATTTACATAATTTAAAATACTAGTTTTACCTAAATTTAAATAATTCAAAGTGCTAATTTTACATAATTTAAGACTGCTATATTGAAATTCGTAATTATAAATCATACCTATTTTTTATTTCATCTAATTTTTCATCTAATACAACACTTAGGTGCTTTCTTTCTTCAATTTCATTTTCTTTTTTCACGATTGACTTTTTCATTAAGTTTCCTAACACAATACCAATAAATAATATCATACCTACTTTGTGATTAGACATGAATTTTTTGGCGCAATCCGTAGGATTGTTAATGTTCAAAGTATATATCTGAAAGAAAAAAATTCCTTTATTCGAGTGACAATTATTTTAAATAGATGTCTAATAATTTTTACCTGGTTGCTAATATGCGTTGCAATCAATCCAACAGCAGTATAGTATGGCCAAGTTTGAGTAGTTAATACACCGGAGGTGATTAAACTCGCAATCATCACTATTCCAAAACCAGACAAATAGAATTTCGTGTCCTTCCCGAATTTTATAGCGGTCGACTTCATGCCTAGCAAAATATCATCCTTTCTATCCTAGAACACAAAAAAATTCGTGAGCGATATGAGAAGCGCAAAAAGTTATTACATTTCTGCTGTACGTACTTGATGAGCATATATCGTATCGTACATAATAGTCCAACAAATACCAGCTACGTAGAGGGGCAAGCATATAGACCAATCGCACGATCCGTGTATAGCTGACCACCCTAGTAGGGCACCCCAATTGAAAGTCATTCCCAGAATTAATTGCGGCCAGTACGTTATTCTTTTCATAAGGGGATAAATTATTACTAGACCTAAAAAAGAAAATACAAGATGTGTCATATTAAATATTTTAGATTCATTTTAGATAGACGATTAGGCCTTCGATATATTATGTAATACCTAGTGAACTGGCACCGAGAAATACGCTGTACCAATTTAGTTGCAACAAAACAAGTAATCCTAAACTCAATTGTCCAGCTAGAAACATTAACGACTGTTTTGGCGTTATTTGACCAGTTACCAAAGGTCTGTCCTTCGTTCTGGCTACCTGAGATAACAAGTTTACATAAACCATGATATCCAAGAGACGAGGAATGTTGTCACAAAGAATTTTACCATTTTGTCAATGTCCTGATCCCACATGTCATTTATGGTGCATCCCGCACCGCGCATTATGAATGCACCCGTACCAAAAAGCGCTAACATATGGAGATCTGGTAAGGCGCCGGCAGAAGCCGCCATGGCGATACTCCATCCACAGGGCCAAAATAGTAACCAGCTTCCTGACAGAGAATTTAGAAAAGAACAGAGATTGAATATACGTAACGAAGTTGCAGTTAATAGATAATTGTTTGAATAAGCGGGACTTACCTATCGGTTTGTCTATTCTCATAAGTTTCATATACGGTTGTACTTTAGGTGAGGCATTATTGACTAGCTTTGCGGCGATGCTCAAGCATCTCTTCCGCTGTGAATCTGGTAACTTGACACAAGTCAATGTATCTTCTATCCTTAACAAAGAATAGGTCGTCCTGAGTACATTGGGACTCGCTTCATATTTGTACTTATGGCATACCGCGGAGAAAGGAATCTTTGTACATGGTCTAAAATTCACAGCCCTAGGGTTTAACAGCTTGAGGCTGGAATACGTTTTATGTGACAGCAAACTGACAGCTCCAGTGAACCAGCGGCATCTTTTTACAATTATCATTGTTCACCTATAATGATATTGAAAGCTTAAATGAATAAAACTGATACATTCTTAATTTGTTAAATATATCAATGGCTCTGTCGTCGAGTCAACTGTCTTATATCTTTGCCGTGTGAAAGGTGATAAAATATTTGTTTGACAAAACGAATGTATGTGTTAAGAAAATAACAAATATTAGGATATATATCCTACTAAGAAAATTCCTACTAAATATCCTACTAAAAAAGAAAATTATCAAATAAGATTGAAATCTAACCTCTGGCACAGTATATATATAATCTTCGGATTGACTGACTTGGCAATTAATTTGAAATGTCATCGACGAGATTACTCGATAGAGGGGATAAAAAAACTTTTAAGACGTATACTTTAGTCTTCGTTATCCGAAATAAGATATTGTCAAGAAAAAACGTGAACATTGTTGAGGTTATACGCTCCGGTAAATTCAGAGATATAGTTTTGTATAATTTTAGCAATCTTAACAACAGACCTGCGTACTTGATAACGCATAACTGATTGTCATTGGGTCATTGTCGTTGCGTTTTAATCACTTTAACACGCTTTGATCCTCGTGCTATTCTCGCACGTCTCACGTTGCGATAGAAAATCACAAAATAAATCTACACCGGGTGCACATGGATGACGATGACATAAGTCGTCGATCACGTGACCGGGCTCGACAGGTGCGTGCTCTGATACCTATATACTGTCCAAAATGCTTCCAGAAATCCGTAAATTATTTTTATTTTCTACTACCCTTTATATATCCTGCAACTTACATAATGTTACATATTATATTAAACTTATATATATCTATATATAATATTATATAATATTAATCACATATATAATATTAATGTGTAACATTAATTTTAAAATTAATGTTACACATTAATATTATCTATATATGTGACTTATTATAATTTTTAATGTGCTTTGATCTATGTATTATGTATAAAATGCTTATCAATACTTATATTGATAAAATATCTATAACAATATAGATATATACATAATTTCGTATTTATTGTAATATGAGTGAGATTCTGAAGTTTTTCTTACTCTTGCATTAAATGCTGGTATTTCTGTGATAAGTGAACTGCAGACGAAACAGATTAATAAATTTAATTGTTTCCATTTATTAACTGTAATATTTACTTCAAAGAAAATTTCATATTATTGTTTTTACTACCCAATTCTTATTCTTTTCTCATAAAGACTCTTTACTAAAGTCTATAATAGTTCACAACGATACTCCTTTATCACAATACGATACGCACGCGACTGAGGTTTGATTGTTCAATAGCGTCTGCTAGTGTTTATTTTACTGCGCATGTCCAACGTATTTTATGCACGCGAGATTACATAATGCCATTCTCGTCTTATTGAAATTTTATAAAGAGAATCGCAATTTCGAGAATTTTTAAAAATTTAAATCGCCAAAATTTAAATTAAAAAAAAAAAAAAAAGTATAGAAAAGAATATAATAATATATGAGATAATTCTTTTCCACTGTATTCATTATTGGAATGAGCAATATGATGATCACTATGAACAATAATACACAAACAGTATTTGTAAATAATTGATAAAACTTTATATGTAGTAGAGCATTTATGATTGTTTAAAATTTTAAATTATATTTGTATTAATATATTGATTTAATATTGCATGAGTTGTCTTTAATATTATCTGAAAACTATTATTTATCTTTAATTTAAGCCTTCATACGTATGAAACACAAATGTTAAACCGTCATCATCGAGATATGTACTTTAAAGACGGACAATTTTATGGAAGTTTGTGTAACTATATTAAAATTTAGACAGCTTATAATATAATACTAACTTTATGACTTATTATTATGATATATCATCTTGACATTTAACAGATAGATGCCCGGGATTAAGAGTCTTTAACAACAAAATTATCTTGTCAGATAAAATTTTGAATCATAATTAACATACGAAATATATCTAAATGCCTAATGATGTTTTGACATCGTATTGATGCAAAAGTTTATGCACTAACAATAAAGATGTTCGTAAAATTATAATCATACGTGGACGAAGGAGAAAGAAAACAAAAACGGATCTATTTTGAACGTTTAAAAGCGGCCAAGTATCATCGTTGATTCGGATGGACCGCAGCTTTCCGCATTCCCGGCCACGTGGGCCTTTTAAAAAATGGCGCCAGTCACGACCGCCGCGTGTACGTCGTGTGCGTGACGAGACGGCCGCGGAGTGCGGAATGCGGACCGATTGACGACATCGACGTGCGTGTATACTGTGTGCGTAGTATACGTAGCGATTCATGCTACGGGCTCTCGCGGCCGGCGCGCGACGTTGCATCCGCACGATGACCACTGTCACGCAGAAGCCGGAGGTGGTGTTCATCCTGGGCGGCCCGGGCGCCGGCAAGGGCACGCTCTGCCGTTACATCGTCGAGCGTTACGGCTATGCTCATCTGTCGGCCGGCGACCTGCTGCGCGAGGAACGCGCCAAGCCTAGCTCGGAGTATGGCGAGCTCATCGAGACGCATATCAGGAACGGCACGATCGTCCCCGTGGAGATCACCTGCAGCCTCATCGACCGCGCCATGCAGACCTCCGGGAACCCGCACCGCCGGTTCCTCATCGACGGCTTCCCCAGGAATCAGGATAACCTCGACGGCTGGAACAAGGTATCGGTCGAGAATTATATCTGTCCTTATCTGTCTTGGCTTTATATCTCTTGAATTTATTTACATTAGTTGAACCTGGAATTGCCAGTAAATTGTCAGAATTTGTCTACAACTGAAATGCACACTGTGGTTCTTGCAATCGACGTGCAGAATAATAAGCGGGAAACCGGGGAAACACAAGACTTTTGCACAACGCATAATGCATACGCATAAGAAAATTGATTGGTCTATTTTCTATTTCCTTATGCACATGTATATGGACCAATAATCAA